GCATGTGTATATACAATTTTCTCTCGCTTTATACAAAACAGAAACAGAATTTATACACTTCTGTGTATAAAAACGAGAGAGGCGAGCAGAGGGAGAGTGGCGAGCGAGATTTTTGGAAGAGATGCGCCTGACAAACTTTGCTAACTTTTGCTATGGAGCACAATTAAATCAAACCATAGCTACTCCATTATTTTAGGTTATTAGTTTGCTATTACATACAATTATCCCTTATTTTTATATATTCTACCAAACGATTTCTAAATATTTTACTATCTATAGCTAGAAGTAAGCATTAATTCGTTAACATGTCTACTTCTAATCGAGAGCATTTTCTAATTTTTATTTATCATATTTTTAATTTGTTACACATTCAAATACTATATAAAAAATTATTATAAATAAAATATTAAAAGATAATAAATTATTGTGGGTCACAATAGTTTATAGTTTATAACGAAAAGTGTTAGGTAAATTAGAAAAATAGAGTATGAGTGCCATATATCTAGCAGAGCTCATGTAGTGATGTAACTAATTTAAGAAGAAGCGTTAATGGCATAGGGAGGAAAGCAAATGGTTGAAACGGCTGCAATTTTGTGGACAATCTGTTACCGGTAAACCCTAATACTTTCCCCAAATGAAAAAGATGTGTTTTTGTATTTGTAAATTGGAGCTTCGTTTGGGGAAAAACATCCCTATTTCAATTGTTCTTACAATTTTTTTTTTTTTGATTTGGTGTTTGAAATTTACTCAATACTCTTATTTTAGTTAACTTTAGCATATCAGGAAACTTAATAAGTAATATCAGTAGCAAAATGAGTGATTTTTTTGATGATCATGGTATCGGGGTTAGCTTTCGCTCACCTTTGACTAATTCTACTGTATACATGCTTGCTCCTATCGGTAAAAGGTATCAGGTAACTCTATCCACAAAGATTAGGATAGAAAGCTTGATATTCTTATGTTGTAATAGTATTTGAGGTTGAAACAATTTAACTCTTATTCGAATTGTATTTGAAGTGATTAAGCAATTTTTGTTAAAAATAATGAACTATTTTTTGTTTGTTTTGAATTTTTAGTTGAGTATCGAAATATTCAGAATATTTGGCATTGAAATGTTGCTTCTTGTAATTCAGATTGTGATTTTCATCTGTCAATAAGTAAAAAAAAACATAACTTTGGTGTACTGCATCGGAAATTTGGGGGACGACTAATGAATAGCGGACAAAGAATCGTTGGTGGAGGGGTTCAGCATGTGTTGGACTATCTGAGGCGAATGCAGGCTGAAAGTCCAGCATTTTTCTATGCTGTTCAGGGTGATATTGGATCTTCTAATGGAAACATTTTTTGGGCCGATGCAACTGCCAGAATGAACTATCATTATTTTGGGGATAGTATCAAATTGGATACTTCCTATCGAGCTAACGGATATAGGGTACCTTTTGCTACTTTCACTGGCTTAAATCATCATGCACAGCCTGTTCTTTTTGGATGTGCTTTGCTTTTTAATGAGTCTGAAGACTCACTTGTCTGGCTCCTCCAAACTTGGCTTCAAGCGATGTCTGGACAGACGCCTGTTTCCATCACAACTAACACTGATCATCTCATACAGATGGCTGTTGCTCATGTTCTGCCAGAAACACACCATCGTCTTTGTAAATGGAGCGTAATTCGAGAAACCAAGGAGAAGCTGACTCATGTATGTCAAGCACATCCAACCTTTGAAACTGAATTTATGAAGTGTGTTAATGGAAGTGAGACAATCGAGGAATTTGAATTTCAGTGGAAGTCATTCCTAGAAAGATATTACCTCACGGATAATGAATACCTCCAATCAATTTATAGTGCTCGCCATCACTGGGTTCCTGTTTTCATGCGAGAGACATTTGTTGGGGATATTTTAAGTGATGAAGAAAATGATGCCAAAAACACCTTCTTCAATGGGTATGTGGATGCTACTACCTCTATCCAGTTGTTGATTAAACAATATGAAAAAGCTCTTACAATCTGGCATGAAAAGGAATTAAAGGCAGATCTTGACTCTACTAATACTACACCAGTTCTAAAGACGCCATCGCCTATGGAAAAACAAGCAGCTAATCTCTATACTAGGAAGGTTTTCATTAAATTTCAAGAGGAACTGGTTGAGACCCTTGCGAATCCTGCAACTAAAATTGATGAATCCGGAACAATCACAACATATCATGTTGCAAAATTTGGGGAAGAGCACAAGGCACACACGGTTAGGTTCAACACATTTGAGTTGACAGCTAACTGTAGCTGTCTTATGTTTGAATTTTCAGGTATAATTTGTAGACATGTGTTATCTGTGTTCAGAGCCAAAAATGTTCTTACGCTTCCTTCCCAATACATTTTGAAACGTTGGACAATAAATGCCAAGACTGGCAGTGGAAGCACCGTAGAGGAACATTGTTTAGAGTTACCTACCAATTCTCAAGAGTCTTTAACTATGCGTCATAATAGTTTGCGACAGGAGGCAATTAAATTTGTAGAAGAAGGGGCGAAATCTATTCATCATTATAATATTGCTGTGAACGCTCTGAAAGAGGCTGCAAAAAAGGTTGCTGCTGCAAAGAAGAAAAATGCTGATAAAACTCTGGTGAACAACTTAGTAAATGGATGCAATCAAGTAGTGGATCAAGGTGATATTGATCTAGCAGATTCAGGTCAATCCAAGGTGAGTTTTCATTAAGAGTTCCTCACATTCTATGATCTGAATTTGTTCCATCTAATGATATTTTATTTTTTTTCAAACAAACTTATTCCTATACAAGCATGCCCATCTCTGTGTTTGACTTATTCCAGTCCAATTACTGATACTGTAATATTATGAGATTTCAAGTCTCTCGTACCTAGACCATCCATATTCTTGTGAAGAGTCAAGAGTGATAGTGCTCCATTTCGGTTGAATGCTTTTCTGTACATGTTGCTGTGCCATAATTGCTTATCCAATTTCATTGAGGCTTATAGGGAAGAGAACACAAGGACATCATATTGGGGGTTAAGGCATCCAACACACTATTAATAAGGACCAATCTCCCACCCAATGATAAGTATTGTGTTTTTAATCATACAAATTTTTTATCTTCCAAATAGAAGCAGAAGTTGATTCAGCACCGAGCAATAGCCCCAAACAAATAGCAGGCAAATAACTAATGGAACATCCAATAAAGTCTACTGCAAGTAGCTTGATATGTGCAGTAAATGGTGTCTCAAAATATCAAGCTACTGTTGATAAACTGTTACCG